GTCTGAACTACGTGTTCTAACTTGATGCTACCTGCTTTGAATTGTTCTAAAAGAGAATTGAAAAGACATAGTTTCATTACATAAAGAGTGTAATGGTTTTGTTGACACACTTGCACCAACTGTCTCTATAACTCAGCTTGTCAAAATTGCATATTGAAATCGTGTTCTAAAATAATTATATGTAAATAATATGAAATGGAAACAATCCAGACCCACAAACCACATTTTCTGTTCTGAGGTTATGCAAGGATAAACAGGGATCTTATAAAATTTAAAGAAAGCAGAGAATTTTTGTAAACATTCTCTAAGCCTATAACATAATTGCTTTTGATATTTTGAATAAAATAAGAACATTTAAGACTTTAGAGTAGGTAAAATGGGTCGCAGGTTAACATTTGAAATAAATTCAAGACTAATGTAGGGTTTAACTTAAACAAACCATTTGTTTACCAAATACATAGTTTTGGTTTTCATTTACAAGTTGCTTTCATTGTATCAATCCACTAACATGTGTTAATGAACATGTTTAGAAGAAAACAATATGCATCACTAGAAAAATCTGAGCCATTTTTACCACTAGACATTAATAGAAACCACATGTCAGATATCATCTGTCTGCATTTGTTTAAATTGTACAGTGCCTTGAGCCAGAAATAAAAGGAACAAAAGCAAAAGATTAATATTTTAGACAGTAAGATATATTTATACAATGCAGAACTAAATGATTTGGCAATGGTCTGGTTTATTACAATTTGGATAGTTAAACTGGATATCAAGGTTCCCAAAGCAGAATTTATTGGTTTGAATTATATAGGGTAGATTATCTAAGTTGACCTTATTATTTGGATTATTTTGTAAAGCACTCTAAAAACAATTTTATATATCTGTATTGAAATAATTTAATGTATCTTCTTATGTATTTTTTGTTTGATATTAAATATTGTCAGTTTCAAGTGAATTTCATTCTATTATTTCAGAACTTTGCCGATAATTACATTGTTTGGGACTAAAAAAGTGCAGATTATCCTTTTAGTACATAGTAAGAAAATAAGAAGCCATTTCTCTCTGTGTGTGTAGCTGTACTCCTGTACTCACAATAATCACATTTTTAGAAAGAGAATATATACCAGCAGCTCATTTTTAAGTATTTATCTTTCAAGACAGATTGAGGTGGGAGCAAGGTCATGAGAAAATAAGGATTTCTGAGAGGAACAAAGATACAGACCATCTTTTTAGTGATAATCATCCTGACTGATGCGAAATGGTATCTCATGTTGTTTTAATTTGCATTGCTGATGATTAGTGAAGCTGAGTAGTTTTTTATGGTTGCATAGATGTCTTCCTTTAGGAAGTGTCTGTTCATGGCCTTTGTCAAATTTTTAATGGAGACTATTATTCTAGATGAACTGTCACAGAAACAAAAAACTGAATACCATATGTTCTCACTCATAAGCAGGCCCTAGCATTGGGCACGTGAGCACAAAGGCAGGAACAACCTATGCTGGGCATTGTTAATGGAGGGAGAGAGGAGGAGAGGTAAGGGGTATACAACCACCCACTGAGTACCATAACTACTACCAGAGAGAGAGAGAGAGAGAGAGAGAGAGAGAGAGAGGACTTGCTCATAGCTCAAATCTCACCTGCATACAATTTACACTTGTAGCAAATTCTCACATGTACCCTTAAATCTAAAATAAAATACAATTAAAAACATACGAGAAATACAAGACTATCATAGAGAAGAGAAGGATTTTTTTTTTTGAGAAAGCAGATTTATTGAGAAGACAGAGAAGCTCCCATAGTGGGAGGGGACCCAAAGGGGTTGCCCCGAGAAGGACGTTTAAGTGTACACAAGGATTAATTTTGTTTTAGCTAGCTGCAGTTAGCATTTTATTTTGCTCCCATCCAATCTTTTCACATATGAATATTATTAATATAAAGTTATAATTGTTATATTGTGGTTCTAGCTCCTACTTTTCAGTTCTTACTTCTATCATGTATTACTATCTATTTTATTTCTTATTTTAATGGATAAATAATAATTGTACATATTTGTTGGTTAATAGAGTGATATTTAGATATATATAATGTATAAGGATCAGAGAACAGTAATTAGCATATCCATCATCTTGAATATTTAACATTTCTCTGTGTTGGGAACATTCAATATCCTTCTTCTAGCTATTTGAAATTATATATTATCATTAACTATAGTCATCCTACAGTGGTATAGAACACTAAAACTTATTCCTACTATCTAGTGGTAATTTTGTAGCCCTTAACAAATACCTTCCGAGTCCCCCTTTCCTCTTACCTTTCCAAGCCTCTAGTATTCTCTACTCTCTTTTTTATTTTATGAGATCAACTTTTTTTTTTTTTTTAGCTTCCACATATAAGTGAGAACACCCGGTTACATTTCATTTAATGTAGTGTTCTCCAGTTCTATCTATGTGACTGCAAAGGATAAGGGCTCATACTTTTTATGGCTAAAGTGTTCTATTTTTAAAAGTCTTTTTTAATGTTTGTTTTTCTATATTTACTCCTTACAAATATATCATATTTGCTGTCTAAACAAGTGCTCCCAGATTTTGGTCATCATTTGAAAACTATAAAATTTTGTTTATGTAAATGTCTTAACCAACAGAGTTGGGTATGTGTTCAGCAGAAAAAGACAGAATTACCCAGTTAAGAAAAACACATTTTTTTTTCTCCCATGATGGTAACTGAGTTACTTAAATTCTGTTACTAAAAAAGAACATATCTTGCATGGGTAAGCAGTTCCTCTCTAAACAATATTTGGCACTCCATAAGCACAGGGTAAGCTCAAACTAGGCATTTTAAAATAAGACCATGTGGACAAATTTTATATGTTCTTAACTTTCATCTTAGAACTGCGATAAATTGAAGAAATAAACTACACATAATGTAACTGATCTGAAAAGAATATTCTTTACTAGATCTATTCTCATTATTCATCAAGTCTCTTCATGCTCAGTGAACACGAAGTAATCATGTCATTGCTATGGCATTTTATTGAAAATAATGTTGTCTTTCCTTCAAGGCTGAATTTCCTTAAATAATAACAGGAATCATACCAGTTCTTTGTTTAAAAGATTCTTCTTTTCTATAGAATATCATCAATACTCTGTAGATAAACCTTGATCCCTGCCTGCCTCTTACGACTCTTATACACTCCAAAGTCAAGTCAAAGTAAACAACTCTTTAAGATGAAAATACTAGCTATTCTCAGTTGTTCCTATTTTGATGGATTCTAGCTGAATTTCACATATATGCTGGTATATGACTGTCTTTTCCACACTCAACAATCCTTCCAGGAGCCTTGTCCATGCACCCTTTCATAGAAGTCTTCCCTAATAGCATTCACTTTTGTGAAGGCATGTATTGACAATCCAGAGATATTGATTTGGGTTCAATTCTCTTACAGAGTCTTTAAAAATATGAGGGCTATACATAAAATCACAGACCTATAGCTGAAAGAGATTTCAGAAGCAATATAACCTAAAATTTAAATATAGAAAACCTTGACATCTCATCCTAATTATAATATCCTGGGCACACAGTTTATTTAGCGTAAGGAGATGTAGTGATTAAATTAGGTTAAAACCTCCTTAAAGTTTCCAAAGTATAAATCTGTGGCTTGAATTATATATGCTGGATTATATAGCTTGACCATATTGATTGCATAATTTTGTAAAACACAAAATGAGATTTCATGACTCTGTAATGAAATTATTCTTATTGTCTTCCTACACGTGTTCAGACTTGACATTAAGTATTCAGTTTCAAGTGGATTCCATTCTATTATTTTAAAACGTTATCTAGCCAGGCTCAGTGACTCCACATGTAATCCTGTGCTTTGGGAGGCTGAGGTGAGTGAATTGACTGAGCCCGCGGGTTCAAGACCCACCTGGGCAACTTGACGAGACCTCATCTCTACAACAAACCAAAAAATTAGCCAAGCGTGGTAGCGTGCGCCTGTAGTTCCAGCTATGTGGAAGGGGGAAGCGGAAGGACCGCCGGAGCCCAGCAGGTGGAGGCTGTGGTGGCCGGGAGTGGCCACTGCACTCCAGTCTGGGCGACAGAGTGAGACTCCAACTCAAAAAAATAAGTGAATAAAAATAAAACGTTATCTATAATAAACCTTCGAGTAAAAACTTCATGAAGAAGGTAGTGCTTAAACATGGGCAAGGCAGTCGTAGTTGATGACCTCCTTAGAGTGGATGTGGATTCATTCAATTTGAAGAGTGGCATAACTTATCATTACTCATTTCCTGGAATCTACTTGTATATGAACTCCACACAGCCAAGTCATTTCTTTTGTATTACACAAGAGGAACTCCAGTGAAAGGTGGTACTATTTTTATATCTATGGATGGCTGGGCCATTTAGGAAAATTCAGTAAAAATTTAGTAAACCTGAACAAACCTAACTAGTTGCTAAGTTTATATTTTTTTATCAAATCATCCATTCTAAATACAGTGTTATCTTTTCCAGGGTTGGTCTGCATAATCACCACTACCACCACAGAACATACAGGCTGTATTAAACACAGAAAAATCTATATAGTGCTATGAAAAGAGCATTATCTATGAGAATCTGATGAACAGAAAATATTCAAATTAATTAGTTGCATAATTTTTGGTCAGTTATCTAACTTCACCGAATCCTAGTTTCTGCATTTGGAGAATGAATTAAAACATTAATCATGTTCAGAAATCAACAACAAAAAATTACATAGAGGACTTGTACTGACAAATTTCTTGTTCCTATGTTTGTCTACCTCTACTTAAGCAACTCATTTGTCTCTAGATTTTAAGGAATTACAAGTTTTCCCTAATTATGATTTTATAATAAGTGAAGCTTGGGTAGAAAAAATACTTCTAAAATTAGAGTCATAGCTATGAATTAGGAATGTATCTTGAGTGATGATTAATAAAAAATGTTATGATTCAACACACTTTGTTTTTCTTTTCTTTTAGGAGCCTAAGTTGCCAAAGGATTACATTACACAAAAATTTGTTCTTCTCTTTTGTTTGTAACTCTGTTGTCACAATCATTCACCTCACTGCAGTGGCCAACAACCAGGCCTTAGTCGCCACAAATCCTGTAAGTAAGGAAAGATTGTGCTCTTAGATTCAGGGGGCTAGTGGGAAAGAGGGGTGGGGAGGAATGTAGGTATTATGTGTGTAATGAAGTACACACATATGTATTTTTTCAAGTCTGACATACAGAGAATATATGTAGTCATATTCCGTTCTAGAAAGGTAAATGTTTTTCAACATTCCCCAAGATACAAAATGTGAACTTCAGAAAGAGGAATTTCTCTTTGTTTCAATTATTTATATACATTATACAAATCTTCACCTCATTTTATAGCTATAGAATCCTGCTGCTCATGGCACATAAGGGTTTCTCACTACATAACATTTATCCATCCAATGAACAATATCAATCAAAGTATTAACTCTGTATAAGAAACAGTACATGAAAGTAGAAAATTTAAATTAATTTATATATTTGCTGTCAGGTCAACTTAAAAAAAGTCAATAAGACAAAGAAAACAATGAATTATATATAACCCCATGTAATGATAAACTTCATATTCTAGCATTTCAAAAAGTATGACAAAGTCTTCAGTCTCAATAACTATATATACGTTGTTTCTCTGAGTAATTTAAGATTTATTTATTCAAATATATATATTGTCTGCAAGCTGAATGCATATGTAAATATATAGAAATCAAAATATCTGCATACATAAATGTACATTTAAATTTTTTAAATCATCTGTTTTCATAATGTTTATGGTATATATACTACAGTTTTGGATATGGATGCGTGTGTGTATGAAATGTTTTTTTAAAAGAATAAGTTATCTAGTTCCTGAAATCAGGAAAAGGAAGGAATTTTCACCCAGTGGGTCAATAAACAACACTCTCATATGTGTTTTATGTGTGTTTTCGGGGTCATTTCCAAAATGCTAAAATTTTCTGCATTGTTTGTACATGTGCATCCGGATTGTTTAATCTTGAATATGTTCCACTCTAAAGTCACTAGGTTAGGAAACACACTGGGGCATAATTAGCAATATGAAAAACTGGCCCATGTCCTGCCATTTTAGAGTGAACATAGTGAGTATCCTAGAGCAGGGAAATTCAAGTCTTCTCACAAAGCTGCAGAACAAAAGATTCTAAATATCATGTTTATACACAAGGATGTTGTATTTAATATACAGATTATAAATTGTAGTATACTTATTTTTGGAAAAAATATTGTTTGTTTATATCACTAAACCTTGTATAGAAATATTTTTCTGAAGTATGCTCTAAATTGTTTTTATTGTAATGATATGTAACTTTAACAAAATAAAATCAAGAATTAGAGTTTCAGTTAGACATAAATATCTAAAATGCATATAGATAAAAACTTGAAGCTGAAATTGATTATTTCTACATATGTAGTTGAATAATTCATTTTTATCTTTGAGAGAACTTTAATGTTGTGGCTGGGTGCTATGGCTCAAGCCTATCATCCCAGCACTTGGGGAGGCCAAGGTGAGAGGATTGCCTGAGCCCGCGGGTTGGAGACCAGACTGGGAATGGTGAGACCTCGTGTCCTCAATACATAAAATAATTAGCCGGATATGGTAGCATGTGCCTGTAGTTTTGGCTACTTGGAAGGCTGAGGCGAAAGGATCACCTGAGCCCAGCAGGTCGAGGCTGCAGTGGCCGTGAGCATGCCACTGCACTCCAGCCTGGGTGACGGAGTGAGAATCCAACTCAGGAAAAAAAAAATGTATTTAAAGTTTAGATGAAGTTATTTAAAATGTAGTGTCATGTATTCTGCAGATGCATTTAATGAAGGGATCAGTTTTGTAAATATTCTTTAGTCAGGAGGCATTGTGTTTAGTAGTGAAAACAAAATTGGAATTACTGGAATTACATTCAGGATGTAGTTTTGATTGACATATGAACATTAGCAAATCATTTCTCTGGTACTCAGTTTCTAACCTATAAAATGTATGGCTAGCGGCAATGCACACCTCACAGGATTGTTGTAAGCATTAAATTGAATAATATTTATAAAATAAGTTTAAGCTAACTCCTATGAAGATGTTACCACTACTATTCTATTGTAACCCAGTATTTATTTCACAGTGCATTTTGTTTTAAAATTTTTATTGAAAAACATATTTCGAAATTAATGAAAATTGCCACTAAGTATTTTTGGTTCCCAGACTGGAAATTGAAGCTGATGGGAGTGATTGGACAGTATTTCTGGAAGAGCTTTAGATTTATTTCCTCTGTTAAGTCAGGAAACAATATCTCTTAATCCTTTGTGTTTTGTTAATCCTATATTTAAACCCCCTTCTTCCTACCCCTTTCAGAGTAGAAATGAGAAAGTAGAGACCTCAGGAAAAGAGGAAGGGAAGCTACATATGGTTTTTTCTTCTTTTTGCTCACATGAAATCCTCAGACCCTACATTTGCATAAAATAAGACGTAGACTTATTACATTACTATTCAATGAGAACTTGCACTGACAGCATGTAGAATGCAAAAACTTTCCAAGTTTTGGGCTTTTTTAATGAATTGGTATTAAAATTATGGGCTTTTTTAATGAATTGGTTTTAAAATTATTTTGGGGCTTTGTTTCAATTATTTATATACATTATACAAATCTTCACCTCATTTTATAGCTATAGAATCCTGCTGCTCATGGCACATAAGGGTTTCTCACTACATAACACTTATCCATCCAATGAACAATATCAAAGTATTAACTCTGTATAAGAAACAGTACATGAAAGTAGAAAATTTAAATTAATTTATATATTTGCTGTCAGGTCAACTTAAAAAAAGTCAATAAGACAAAGATTTGGGCTTTGGGCTTTTTTAATGAATTGGTTTTAAATTATGGGCTTTTTGGACTTTTTTAATGAATTGATTTTAAAATTATGAAGATTTTTTTCCAACAGAATATAACAGTCAAGGGTTTCATGATGACATAATTAAAATAGATGTAAATGGGTATAAAATTAGTCACGTGTGATACTTTTATAATTGCATAATAACCAAATACACATTTACCAAATTAAGTAGGTTTTGAAATTACACATTTTTCTGGGAGATATGCCACTGTCAATCTTTAGAGTCTGTGGCTAAAAACTTTAGAGGCATCATTAAAGGAGTGTGAAGACTGGCATTCTACAAATCTGAATCATTAGTGTATAAGATTTTGTGTAGAGGAAAGTCCATGTTTTCTAAATGAGATGATTGCTTTACATGTGACTTCATAAACAACTAGATATTAATTGCCTTTTTTCCCCTCGCAGGTTAGTTGCAAAGTATCCCAGTTCATTCACCTTTACCTGATGGGCTGTAATTACTTTTGGATGCTCTGTGAAGGCATTTACTTACACACACTCATCGTGGTAGCTGTGTTTGCAGAGAAGCAACACTTGATGTGGTATTATTTTCTTGGCTGGGGTAAGTGCCATTACATACATCTGATTCAACTAAGAAAGCTTTTGGAAGATGTAAGGTTATTTTGTAATAAAAATATACAAATTGATGAGTTGCTTTTAAAGAATATCAGATTGCTTATCACTGTTAGTAGAAATATGTAAAGCAAAATATCACTGACTCACTTAATGTTTTCAGTTGTCACAGGTCAATTAATAATACAATGTCTTTTTTCTGTTTAATATTCAAGTGGATAGTGTATCTTGGACGAATATGTAGTGACTAAAACAATGGAATTAGAATAATGAATTTGGAATCTAGTCTTTGCACTATTCTGAATCTTTTTTGTTGTCAGGTGTAAAATGAGAGCATTGGGCTTAAACAGCTTTGACGTTCCATTCTAAAAAAAAAAATTGTTTAAAAATTGTCATTTTGTGATAAGAGAGGGATTCATTGAATAAAGGCATCCAAAAGATCACTTTTCCACACAATCTCCTGACATGATATTATTCACAAAGCAAGCAGTACTATACTTCTGGCATATTAAAAAATAACTGGAATAGTGCAAAGTATAAAGTGCAGAAAATGACTCTAAGTAGATTGGTTTCCAGAAACAACTGAAATTATACTGATCTATCATCAGTATGTCTATTTATTTCTTTCTCTTTCTATCTACCCAGTGAAATATAGATAGAGATATACAGAGGTAGTATACACATACACATACTCTTTAGTACATTCTGGTTATCTTTCTGAAGCATTTCTTCATTTCATATTTGAAAGATGTGATTTCGAATGTTCAAACATGCCAGATTCAGGGTGCATAAACCACATCGTTCTCTTTTTTTCTCTTCTTCTTCAGATAGTGACTTACTGTTAATTTGTCTCTCATAGTGGAAGTTCTCATCAGTCTCAACTTCTCCCCACATTTGATAGCCTACCAAATATTGGCAAATTCCATCTCACAGAAAATATATGAATGCTGAATTGCTTCTAATCCTCAGGACTTAGACAGGACATTTATGGACTTAAACTCTGGGATTCACTGATACAAATTGACTTATATTAGAAGAAAATATACACACAAATACAAAAAAACTAAAAGTCTATCATATTTATTGCTTAACTATACAGATAATATTTACTCAAGAGCTATATGGTGACTAGTTTTTTGTTCCTAGATTATCTTTGAGTTTCATATTTTATTACATACACTATTTTAGAAGTCTTATCTACAGAAAAAAATTCTATTGATTTTCTTTCTCTTTGATATTTACAGGATTTCCACTAATTCCTGCTTGCATACATGCTGTTGCCAGAAGCTTATATTACAATGACAAGTAAGATAATCTCTCTGTTTTTCTATTGGAATGATGTAAAATGAAAATTTTCAACATAATGTCCCTTTTCCCCCTCAGTTGCTGGATCAGTTCTGATACTCACCTCCTCTACATTATCCATGGCCCAATTTGTGCTGCTTTACTGGTAGGTGATTACAGTTCTTCTTTCTTCATCATTGCTCACATGTCAACTTCACTTCTTAATCGTCTGGCCTATGGTGTCCTTCAAGATGCCAGTGGACACAGATGACATGCTCACCATGATTACTGAATAGGATTTAATGAAAGTATCAGACTTGCAGTGTGGGCAGGATAGGCAAAGAAACTAAGGCACAAAGAATGGTGAGACATTAGGGACCAACTGTGAGATCCTGTTATCACAGCCACACCCCAGAAGGGAACAGAGCAGTGTTACTGGAGCTAGACAAGCCTTAGGAGGATTTAGATAGAGGAAAACAGCTACTGCCCAATCCACCGGTTCGCAGGGAAGAAGCAGCAGAAACAAATATTCAAATTTCTCTCTCTTCCCATGCTCTGATCTCTTGGTTCTTGCCCTTGGCCAAATGTAACAATCATCAGAGGACGAGAAAACCAGGGTAATGATGCAATCCACATGTTGGCTTCCTGAGGCACAGAAAAGAGCAGAGCAGAGAGTAGGTCTCCTGAGGTGGGATGGCAAACAAGAAAAACCACCAACACACCTGCATAAGAACAACACTCCAATAAAGAAAAAACTTTAGTTTAGAAAAAGAGATTATTGTTTGAACTATTTTTTAATAATCATCACCACTTAATATCAGTACACCAATTTAGTGTGATTACAGGGAAACAGAGTCACATTCAATGCTTTTATGACATTATTTAAATGGGGGAATAAATTAGTACAAACTACCATACTTTCTGTCATTAAGTATTAGAGATCATAATGCAATTATAGTCTCTAAGAGTGATACTTTAATTATGGCTGGTATTATACACACACACATATATATTTCTTACCTAAAAGTTCAAGTTTCCTGACTTGATTTTTTAACATAAATATTCTATTTTACCATATTTGCTAGCTGTAGTTTAGTGTATAATTGTGTTAGAACACTATTCAAACCATTCTCAAAAGGTATCATTGTTAGGTCATTCTTATGGAAATTTTTATACCCTTTATGAAATTTTAATATATCTTGATGTAGAGTATAGTGAAAATTTCAAAGACAGAAAGACTTCCTTCCTTTACTCTCTTTACATTCTAAGAGCACATGTGACACACTGTTTAAGCAATAACCTGACACTGCCTGGCTTTGTATTCTTGGTGTTCAAAGAGTCAGCACTGAATCCTGGCTCTACCATGGTTGGCTGTATATCTCAGGGCATATTTTCTGTTTTGTTTCATTTTTAACCTCACTGTGACTTTGTTTCCTCAACTATAATGATAGAATAATGAGAATATACCTCCCTGGGTATTGTAAGGATTAAATGTGATATTTCCTGTTAAGTGATTAGCATGGTGCCAAGAATATACTAAATTCTGGGGAAAAAATGCTTTTAAATGAATTAAGAGTCTATCATACTCAGTGATCTATCACAGAAGCAAAGAACAGAGTACCATGTGTTCTCACTCATAAGCGGACCTTGAACAATTAACATAATACTGTAAGAAAGGGATTGGCTGTAGCAGGAAACTGCCAGGGCAGGGGGGAGTGAAATTGGCAGTTGAGGGAAACTGCCAGGAGAGAGATGGGGCACACCTCATCAACAAGGGTACCTGCATAATCAATGTTCATATACCTAACCTGAATTGTACCCCACATCTTTAAATAAGAGATGTCTTCGCTTGTTATTTCTGCCTGACATCATGCTTCTGTTCTGAGAACTCAAAAAATTAAGGTGTATTGCTTGGAATATGCAGGAGTTTTCAGAACAACACATGACAACATTTTATTACAAAATATCTAACTATCCAGAGAGGTATATGATTCAAAATCCTTAATCAGTGAGGTACAGGTAGTAAAAGCACCAAGCAAATACAACAGGTAGCAGCAGCTAACACAATCCTTGGAAGTCTGTTCATGTCAACTTTTGGAAAAAAGAGTAGATGATGCAGTTACCATAAAATATTATTTAGAAACACAGTCTACTCAGTTGCTCAGTAAGAAAGGAAGTGAAAATCCACATACTTTGCATACAACATTTCCACCTCATTGACCTAAAATGAAATTAAGATCTATTTTTCTACCAGAGTAAATTGTCCTGTCTTTGTTTAAGCTCCGGGGATCCCCACTGGTCCTGGCCAATTCCAAGATCCTGGGAAGGGTCCTAGCAATTGTTCATATGGTCATATGTTTTTGTACCATTTTTATAAATAAGATATTTTAATCACAATCAGTTTCTTTCTACTCAGACATCCTCTATCACATTTCCCCTTGAGCAGGGTGGTACTGGAGTGATTACAACGTTTTTGAGATCCTGCTAAAGGGAAGTCGAGAAAGAATACATTTAATTTGGGTCCAGTGAGAGGTGTTTCGGTCACTTCAGGGCATAGTTAAGTGATTGCTGGCCATATTTGCTGAGAACAGCTTTCAGAAATCCTCCCACAGCCAATGTACTGATTCACTCTGCTTACTGTCATGACCCTATAGTGTATTGTGATGTGTAAATGCCTTGACATACCTACCAGCTATGTGAACTTTATGGATGGTAAAGTAAAAATAGGTTTCTCCTTAACTACTTTTGCTCTAAGGGAGGATGAAATTCAGACATAATTCATCTGAAATTTAAAATTTTCATTTTGGGCAACCCCTTTGGTCCCCTCCCACTGTGGGAACTTTTCTGTCCTCTCAATAAATCCTGCTTTCTCAAATAAATAAATAAATAAAATTCTTGTTTTACTTTTATTTCAAGTATTTACAAAAAATAAAGTTGGATCTGAGGATGATAATTTTCTTTATGGTATGTGGACAATAGCACAGAGAATAGTTTTTAATTCACTTAACTATTTTTAGAATAGTGAACAGAAGGATTAGCTCCATTAGCAATTCCAGTTACTAGTTTCCAGTTTCACATTTTAAATCAGACTTGCTATTTGGAGACCTTTGTGTTTAATAAGTTTTCATATAATAGGGGCCTAAACTGCAATATTTCTACTGTTTCTATAATTTATGATTTTATGTATTCAGATTATAAATATTCTATATCATACATTTATATGCAGATGAAACATTCTTATTTTTTTTCCCAAAAGACTGGTAGTAATGTTCCTTTAGTCAAATCTTTGAAAACAGCAATGAATGCTTAGGGAGAAAATACATTAGGATTGGTGGAAAGACAGCTGACATGTTAATTTGTCATGTTTCATCCTTACACCTGCTGAAATGGCTAATTCTTTTGTCTTCATCATATTTCTGTGACTGTCAACCTGTTACTTTTTATAGATGTATTTCCATCAGGGTTGTAGTGAGTTGTATATTTTTTGAGACTTATATTCCATTCAATTCCCTAAGAATAGTAATGGAATATTTATATCCCAGTTATTTTTATAACATATACCTCAAGTTAACAAATGTATGTTATTTGTTAATTATTTTCGATACTAAAGGAGATGCTGTTGTTATTCTTTTCAATTTATTAAATTGTATCTATATCAATTATATAAAGGAGGTACCCAAAATCAGCTTTTGGAGGGCAGGCCCTTTGTAATATACTTAGAATTTGTTCCTCCAGATCAAACGGTCAACCAAAGTTTTTATCTGGAAGTTTTGAGAAGGTTGCATCAGAATTTGCAGAAAAAACAACCTGAGTTGTAGCAAACAGGTGATTGGTTCTTCCACAATGCACCTGCCCATATCGTGCTGAGTGCTCAGCATTTTTTGACTGAAAACGATATGACCCCAGTGCCCTACTCTCCCTATACACTCAATCTCGCCTCAAGCGACTTTTGTTTTTGTTTTTGTGTTTGTTTTTTGGGTGAAAAAAATAAGTTCTCAAAGAGAAACGTTGTACTGATGTGGAAGAGGTGAAACAAAAAATAGCAGAAGCACTAAAAGGCATCAAAACTGATGAGTTCAAAACTGATTTGAGCAGTGGAAAAAGCATCTGATAGGTGCATTGCATCAAGTTTTAAAATGTAAGAATAGATACACAATTTTTAATAATAAATATTAACCTTTTTCGTTCCCCCTCTTGTTTATTGGTTTGTGGTTTTAAATTTTAAGATTATTAAACAAAGGGCAAATGCTAGAAGTCAGGGTAACAAGATAGGAAAGAGGAGAGCAATCAGCCACTATTGGGCTCTACTGGAGTTTATGTTTATAATCTCCTGGAAGGCATAAGGAATGGGAATAGAGAAAATGAACAAAAGTAAAAGATATTGACTTGGATGAAAATAAGAAATAAAGTAGTATTTAAAGACAGAGAGAGAGAGATGAATGTGTTTCAGCAGGACCCAGTTTGTTGTCGCCCTATATTTTCAAATGTCTGCATTGCTCTTTCAAAGGAAATATTGCTTGAGGAAAGTTGTTAAAGCACAATAAACAGTAAATATGTAATTACAAAAAGTAATAGAAGGGCCCATGGGATGCCAAGTGATTTGAGCTCAAGGATGATCTAGGTTGAACATCAGCTGGTTCAATTACAGGACTCAGTCTCCTCATAAGAACAGAGAGGATTGCAGTACTATTCTGGAGACTTGTTGCAAGGATCATTGTTACCCCCCAAGAAAACACACAGGAAGGTTAAACCAAAACAGATGAAAATGGTTATTATGGTACATATTTTGAAAGTGTGGCCTTTGCTTGGCCACCATTTGCTTTTGTTAAACTCGTCTGGCCAGGTTTCCCTAAGCTTTGGCCCCCTCCCCTACCTTGGGAAGGTGAATCTCCTCTTTCTCTCTGTAATCTACTTTCTAAATAAACTGTGTTTTCCAATCTAAAAAAAAAAAAGATAGTGTGTCATAGTGATACAGATAAAGAGATGATGTTTTAAAAATCACCATTTGCTATACACTATTCTTTGAGGTAAAGTGCTTAAAGCTTTAGTTTGTAAATCATATAAACTTTTTTTTAAATAGCATGAGAAAATAAGCTTAGGAAAACACTCAAATACTTTTTAACCAGTGTTCTACAATATTTCTACCATAATTTTATTTTTTTTAATTGTTCACTAAAATTGTTATACTTGTTATATGAATAAATTACAATTCTGGAAATGCAAATTTATAACTTAAACAAATATACAATTTAAAAGAGCATAGTCTTGTCCAGTAAAGATATTTTAAGATTTATAAGATTGTAGATATTTAAGTAATGCTTCTTGATACTAAATATGAAATTATTTCCATTTGTCATTTTATTTTCTTTTTAGGTGAATCTTTTTTTCCTATTAAATATTGTCCGTGTCCTCATTACCAAGTTAAAAGTCACCCACCAAGCAGAATCCAATCTCTACATGAAAGCTGTGAGAGCCACTCTTATCCTAGTGCCACTACTTGGCATTGAATTTGTGCTGATTCCATGGCGACCTGAAGGAAAGATTGCAGAAGAGGTGTATGACTACCTCATGCACATCCTTATGCACTACCAGGTAAGGCAGCTCAAAAAATCTGGCATTCAATGTACATACAGGTTTTGTTTTATTCTTGACGATTTATACAGTGAGTTCTTTAAAATACATGTACCTTTCCACTTGGATTCAGATAATTCTTTTTTTCTTTTTTACAGGGTCTTTTGGTCTCTACAATTTTCTGCTTCTTTAATGGAGAGGTATGGTCATTGATTTGTATTCCTTCTATCATTTTATATTTACTATATATGCATATTTTCATGAAATATAATTATAACTTTGGGAACAACTATGTCCAATTTCATTGCCATTGGGAAAAGTACCATAGCATCTCTTTTCACAGGCACAACTCTCAGTCTCAAATGCTCAGGTCGTATTGGAGTTCAAAGTCAATCTTACTTTAAAATATTTCATCAGTGACTTTTGTTCATCTAGTTTTTTGATCTACCTTTTATATCTTATTAGGTCCAGACTTTGTCGTAGATACAGTGCTAGGAAATTTTTAATCTCATAGATCATACACTCTAATAGGAAATTGAAAATAGGATATAGTATCAACTCATTTTATCTTTTCTGTCTGTCTTACAGTGTTACTTTTGGAAACAATTTTATGGTGAATACAGAAGGGTTTTAAAATTTAAACTCTCAGTTATGCAGGGAAGAGATGGAATGGGTTAGGAAATTTACAATAGGATGCTTTATTTTATGACCAATGTGCTCTTGAATATTTCTGGATTTTAATCCAAGGCTTTCTGACTTGGGAAGTTTCAGGCATTTACAAAAATTGGTACCATATTTTGTATGCATATGAATTGTATTATAGCTCAGTGGTTTGACCTATATTGACTTAACTCTTTATATGGTTTTAATCTGCTTGACAAATTTGAACCTGTAGAAAGATTTTGGTAAAACTGAACGAAGTTTAGAAATCTGGACAGCAACTGAGTAAGACGTGCATACTTAATAACTGTGAAGGTAGCCGGGTTCCGTGGCTCAGCCTGTAATCCCACGCCTTTGGGAGGCTGAGGTGAGTGGATTGCCTGAGCTCGTGGGTTCGAGACCCGCCTGGGCGGCAAGACCTCATCTCTACAATAAATCAAAAAATCAGCTGGGCGTGGTAGCGCATGCCTGTAATTCCAGCTAATTGGAAGATTGAGGTGGAAGAATCACCGGAGCCCAGTAGGTTGAGGCTGTGGTGGCCAGGAGTGGCCACTGCACTCCAGTCTGGGCAATAGAGTGAGACTCCAACTCAAAAAAATAAAATAAAAATAAAAATAACTGTGAAGGTTACCACAGAGCTTCAGGTGGGGAAGATATGGAACCAGCTGTCACAACTTAGGACAATCATTCCTATAAAATAAATGAACAATGGAAATCATGTATTTTTCATGAAAACTATAAAATAGTGTTTCCCTTGTTTAAACAATATTTTACTTCTTTCTCATGGCATAGAATAAAATTTAATATTTAATTCTTAACTAGCAAAATAAATTTTAATTTCAACACGTATTTATTTTGTATATGTATTTATTTATAATGGGGTTAACTGTCAAATATAGCAGACTATATTTCATATCTTTGGGTGGTACATCCATGATGTTTCTATACAGAAGAAAAAAACGACTGTTTTTCTAAAATCAATGAGAAGTAGAGACAGGGACTACAGTTAGGAAGAACAGATAAATCATTTGTTTGATAAAAACTCAAATAGCTTTTATTGTGTACCTCTACAAATTCATTGTATACAATGAATTAGACAATCCTACTCTCCCTGTGTAGGATGTAATAATTAAATATAGATTGAGTGATTTGGACAATATGCCAAAGAACATATATGAAATACAAAACTTATTTCTGTAGATACTTGTGTATCTACAGAAAAATATTTCACTTTCATAAAGTGTAATTTTTAAATATTCAAAACATAATCATTAGTATAATATCTTGTGATAGGAGGCAGTATAGGATAAACACAGCCAAGCATTTGAACACCATAGGTGCTGCTTTCTTCCTGTCTGTGATAATTTTGAAAATGCTGAGAACTAGAGTCTGTATCTACCTTTCTTAAAGGGAAATAAATGTAAGTTCTTACACAAGTTTCACAAGTATTAATGTAAGCTAAGAAATATAAACCTTTTATATCCATGCTGTGCCCTCACTAGACACTCAGTACATTAAGAATTCATTATTGGATTTGTCAAATCACCCGTTTTCAGAATACATGTATAGACAGGCACATTAATCATTTTAGAATCAAAATCTCAAATTGACCCTTTTACTTAGAAAGAGTGCTCAGGGAATATCTAAACTAATGCCTAACACTCCTGTTACACTCTATCTGTGTAAACAAGAGACACAGAACCTTGATCTTCTGCCATGTCCTAAACTTGGGAAAATTTTGGCATTGGAAAATTACAACAATACAAAAATCTTTGAACCAAGTTGTTGCCAAATCCTCCAGTTCTGCACAACGTCTCCAGTGTCTGTCTCCTTTTCATCCCTAGAGATACAACTCCTGTTTGATTCTGATTCATTTCTCATCTTAAGAAATACCATAATCCCTCCCATTTTGTCTCATAGCCTCTTAAGTTTTCCCACTCTCAGAACATGAAAAAACAGCTGCCAAATTACTTGTGTTCCAACTATGTCATGGACTACTTCAAATCTTTTGCTCGCTTGGTTTCCTTCTTGCTTCCTACATGAGGTCAAATGGTTCGCCTTTAGCTTAATACCAGCATTATTTTCTCTCCTGCCTTTTATTTTCTAGCCAACATCTTCCTGCTAGCATTTCTTACTAACTAAGTAACTGTGGCGTGACAAGTGCTCAGGCCACTTTTATCTCATCCTTGGTGCCCTCCGACAAAAGTGTGCACTGTTAACATAAACTAGGGACTCTAGTCCTCGGAAAGATATTTTAACAACATCTTAGGGTAGATATTTTATAAGGTGGACAAAAAGATATGTTGAAAACAACTGAGCCCATATTCTTTAATGAGACTAGATAGAACTTTTATATGAAGGTCTAGTAAATATTTTTACACTGATTTAGATTAAGGAGTATGAAGCTAGCTCCTTAGCTTATGTTAATGGACATATAAAGTTGTAATGTTGTATTATACACATTTGCCTTACTACTTTTATCATGTGCACACACAAAACAATAAAAGCTTATCCATATCCTTAATAACACCAGTATATCTTACCATCAAAAGGTAATTTTCCTTATTAACCTTCTCCATTATTATTGTTACTTTTTTACTTAAATGTTTATTTAAAATGGCTACTTTAATACTCTGTTGAACTAGTGTGATGTTGTATTAGAGGAAGCAGATGAAAAATGTAACATCCTTACAGAGAATAATAAAAAACAAACAGGTGCCTACAAGGCCTATGGATATTTAATTAGGTTTATTTTTAACTTTAGCAAATGCAACCCCACAGTTCAGGAAATTGGCTTTCTATAGTATTTTTGATGATTTAATTGCAATGAAGAGATAGGATGTTGACTTTAATCAAAGTAGATATTTCAATAACAAACAGGTATTTCAAAAGCCATTTTCCTTTCAGAATTGAATTTAAGCTTTCCTTCTTAAGACTCTAAGTAAAAGACTCGCAGTGAAGACATTACTTTCTGTAAACTTTTTCTCAGTATTTATGTATGCTTTTTTTGTAAAAAGCTACATTCCACTTCCTTTTAACCAGAAGGAATTTATGAACTTGATCAGTCTAGCACTTAATAACAAAATGAAGACTAACTTATTAAGCATGAAAAACAATGATAAAAAATAATTCCATCAGAAATAGCTAATTGATCAATAGTCATTTTTGTTTCAAATCTCTGAATATTAATTTAAAATTTTTAATCTAAAGTCATTCAGTTTATTGGTTGCTTGTGTTTATGAAGATATTACATATCATGAAGGTATTATTTTAAATTACCTTAACTCAGATATTTTAATTGGAGAATTTAGAATTACATTAATAAACCAAGAAGGAAACAAAGCTTAATTTTTGGCAATACATACATTCATTGACCTATAAATGCTTTTATCTTTAAAGTGCATTTGCATAAATAGAAATTATTACTTCCAGATATAGTTACCATGTATTTTTAAATTGAGCTTGAAAGTTTTGAGGTTCTTGAACTTAATATAACTTTTAAAACCAAGTTATTGTATTTTAATTATATAATTTTTGAATTATGGAATAGAGAGAAGCTAACTGGACATTCTATGCCTCATTTTGAGTTCTACCTAAATAAATTGTTGACTTTATATTTGCTCTTTCCTTTTGTTCTGCATGCTAAACATGATATGAGACATTAAAACGCTGTGTTCATTTTAATGAGAGAGTATAAGAGACTAACAGAATATTTGAATTATCCTGTAAAACTGCAGATATTCTTGAATATCTATTTTCCATAGAATTTTTGCAATTTGAAGGATTGAGTTTTCTTAACCTATTAGAAAATCACAAGAAAGCAGTAAGCCCTTTTTAAAGGTTTAATATTTGATTTGTATACCTGAATATAGTGAATAGAATATTGAGAAGTATAAGTAGCAGGTTAAACAATTATTGCAAGAGCATATAGGCCAGAAAATACTGGAAAATTGCTGTTAAATGCTCAGATTTCCTTTGGAAATTAATCAAAGGGTCAAAGAGCATTAGAGATCTTGGTGAACACAACTCAAAACAATACACAATTTCGGCAGACATAGATCAAGTTAGGGATTTAGCTGACTCATTAATAATTCAGAAATGGACTGCTCCAACCCAATCTGCTCATTTATCATGCCTGGAAAAGTCCAGGTAATTGACATGGAGACATACCTGAAAATTCTCTGTTGTGCCAGTTGACTCAAGGTGAAGAAAATAGCCTCAGTGTCTTAAATTCTGTTACAAGCATCACTGTATGTGACATACCTGCCCTTAATCTCTAGCTTCAAATAGATATGGAGAGTTATTAAACCTCAAATTCATGCAGCAGAGGATCCAAATACATAAAAGTGGGATCATTACATTCCTAAACTTCTTTTTCATGATATTCATCACATTTGTAATTATTTGTTGAACACATTACTTTCCTCTAGGTAGTAAGTTTTATGATGACAAACACTCTGCTATTTTTTTTAAGAATGTAGCACAATTGCTGTCATATGGCAATCACGCAATAAAATATTGCTGCTACTAGTGATGATGATGATGATCTACATTTTCTGTTTCTTTTATATATTTTCCTCTCCTTTTATACTCTATTTTCTATTCAATTCTATATTTTCTCTGATATAAAACTAGATGTAATATTGTAAGTGGGGCCTGGATTAACTGTTTGACTGCAACATATACATATGCATTATAAAAGGCAAGGTGAGGTGTAGAATAAAAAATATTAACCAAATCTAAATATACAATGTAATTGCAGTATATTTTTTAATGTAAAAGTGGTTTACTCAACTTAATTTCTTAAGAAATTAAGCAATAATTATTAACATTGTTTTGTAAAGTTTTCCACAAAACCTATTTAACTTTGCATCAGATATAATATCTTCATTTTAATTAATGGATTGCTATTGTTCTTTCTGTTTCTTTTTGATTGATAGGTTCAAGCAATTCTGAGAAGAAACTGGAATCAATACAAAATCCAGTTTGGAAACAGCTTTTCCCACTCTGATGCTCTTCGTAGTGCATCTTACACTGTGTCCACAATCAGTGATGTTCCAGGTTATAGTCACGACTGTCCCAGTGAACACTTAAATGGAAAAAGCATCCATGATATTGAAAATGTTGCCTTAAAACAGGAAAGGTTATATGACTGAAAATATAGGCATTGTTGCCTGTTTTGTGCCACTCCTAACTCAAGGATTTCATGTCTTTACAACCAGGAGACTCAAATTTTAAATGAATTTCTTGAATGTTATAAAGAAAAGCCTCCCATGAAGTGTGTTGAAAAATGTGTAACAACCAGCTCTATGAGAGAAAAATCATCCTGACTCGTTACATTTGCCAATTAGTACTTTCACCATGACTGATGTCAAGCTATCAACCTGACATCACCAAATGTGAAATTGGAGAAAAGAGAAGCCCAGTCAACTTTTGTGAGTTAGTGTAAGCTAGCTCTAGCACACAACTGCATGGATTCACAAGTAAATGACTAAACGTTTATATACACATTGGGCATGATTCTTCTCTTGTTACACACAGGGACCAACCTAAGGCCTATAGACATGAAGGGGAAAAGTAGCTCTTGGTTTGTTTTAAAATTCTTTATCCCATCTCATTGGTGCAAATGATTCTTTTTTATTTCCAGAAAGTATTCTAGTTATTTTTGTAATTACCTTCTCAAATGGACCAGACAAAAAGTAAAGTATCCCTGTTGGCTTACCCTCTTTTCTCTCAGAAAAGCAACTGAGCACAATTGAACTACTCATTTGCTGATATATCACAGTTATACCCTGTGGCATATCCGTTGTTGAGACTTGGTGAACAGGATGTACAGTATGCAATCCTACTTCTGTATCATTAGGGAGACATCTTGGTTGGTGCTGCCAAACACCTTGTCAGCTATTTCCTGTTTTACAACACAGTGGAAGGGAATCAGTTTCTTTGTATCTGTAAATAGAAACTTCATCCCCTTCCATTTCTACTGTGTAGACAAATTAGCAATCATTTTACACAAAGAAAATTAATGAAGGATTTCTTATTTTCTTTGAATTTTGTAAAAAAGATTTTGTGAAAAATGAGCTTGTAAATAGTCTGTTATTTTATTTTATAGTCTCAAGTAAAATACAAACTAGGTAACTTTTTAAAACAAATATATAATGCAAACATATATGCTTGTTAATATCTGATACTGTATCTGGGCTGATGTTACAATAAAATAGAGTCTGGAATTCTATAGTTGATAAATAAAGACAACTAGATGCTAGTATCAGAAGTTTGTTTGAGAACTAAGAGAACAGACACACCTATAATAAGATATAAAATATTTATTTAAAAACACAAGGCCATTATTTTATTGAATATATTTGTTTTGGTGACTTATACCTTAATAATAGCTGTACTTGACATATTTCTTTTTTCATTTTGATGATGAACTCACATTCTAATCCATGAATTTTAAACAACTACTGTAATAAATGCCAATCTTCTACCCTTGTGGCTTTTAACCCACTAAAATATTACTTTACTGACTTTTACTATTTGAAGACATGTGACTATGGAAATTTCTCAGTTATCAAGGGAAAAAAACAACTAGAGGGATACAATATATCTCATATACAATGTTTTCATATTTTAATTGAGCTACTGTGTATGATAATGCAAACCAGTGAAAAATTGAATATATAATTGAGGAAAAATTGTTGTCAGACATCTATGTAATAATTAAATAAAGATGGAAGAAAGCCTGATAATGAATAAAAATGACATTTAAATGAAATTCATTTTCTCTAATGTGATTTTTCCACTGAAATCTCTGAAGAACAAGAATGACTTCAATTAGTAAAAGTCAATTTGAGGGAAAATCATGTATATCTGTTTTTTAAGTATGTTAATTTGCTTAAAATTGATTAAACTAATTAATTAGTCATCATAAGTTGTTTCTTAAGCTGTCAATAAATGGTGGGTTCAGTCATTTGATCTTGCCAAGAAAAATTATCTAAATTAGTAAGAATTAACATATTAAATAGTCTGGTCAAAACATTTATAATTTATCTCTGCATGTAAAAGTATTATTTAGTTTCTGATTTATGGACTTCATGACTAGTTGTCATAAGAAGGAGCACAGACTGTTCTGGACTTTCAAATGCCTAAATTATACAAAAAATTATTCATTTTAATAATACTTAATTATTAGCTATTTATCATTCAAAGACACAAATCCAAACTCTTTGCTGACCACGTTCACATATTTCTGCATTATTTTTACAAACTGTCAAGTTGCAACCATGAGTGACAGTAGAAAATGTTGATTTATCAGAGAAAACATTAAAATGTTATTATGATTTTCAAGTATTTTAATTGCTTTTTGTAATATTCAATTTGGATCAGATTTCTTTTGTAGCTAGGTTATCTACTGTACAATCTTGAGATGTACCAGTCAGTCTATTATTAATCAGAGTTAGTTTTGTACCTATATGTTTTTAAGAGTAATATTTTTAAATGTTAGGCCTCTCTAAAGCTGAAGTACTACTTAAGATCTTTGATCTTTGCATCATGCTTGTAAAGAAAAGTAAATATGAGACTATTTTAAAGCAAACTTCTTGTATCTAAAAATTAATTTTGGCAATATCTAGTTTTTAGATTGCAGACTTGTCATTATTCTGCAGTTACTTGTAACAGTCATATTTTAATTTTCTAAAAATTCAGACTTGCCATTTTTTTCTGTTTTTCAGTGCATTTTTTCCATAAGACATCCATCCTGGAATTAAATGTAACTCAATGTACAGAAAATTAATGGTAATGGTAGTGCTGTATTTATTGCTTATAATTTTTTAAAATGTGCATTTGTGAACTTTAATTTTTTCTTTGTTTAATCTGCTGATATAAGCTAGCATTTATCTGTAAAAATATATTCAAGATATTTTGACTAATTAAAACAACTTATTTATCCCTACTTGAAGTATATCTCTATTTTTTTATTATATGAAAATATTAGTTAAAATTTATTTCACTCATATTTACTGGAGTGTTGAATAATCTAATTTATAAACATAATTCTTACACTAATCAGTGGAATATATCTTACAATCAACAAATATAGATTTATTATCCTCTTTAAAGTATTCAATGAACTGATAAATCAACTCAATAAACCAATTAAGAAAAAGATGATTTTTTTCAAGCTAAGAAAAAATCCAAATAAACTACCATGTATGCAAATTCCTTTTATGTGGAAACAGCAGAAATGATGCCCAGAAAAGAAAAAATGTTCAGGGTTTGACTTCCTTTCTCTAATATATTCCATTGTGTATTTTTGTGTTAAATATCAGAAAGAAAAAAAGGGAAAGAAGTACATAAAGATCATTTTAAAAGAGGACAAAATTATGACTTCTACACAAATAAAAAATGAAAATGTCAGAGATTTTATTTAACTAATTAGTTAATGAGGGAGCCAGTAAGATGTTACAACTATCCAAATAAGAATTTAGAATATCACACATAAATGAGAATATCAGAAATGCTGAAATAAATTTATAATAAATGTAAAATCACTCTATCCTTAGGGCAATAGTCAGTTGCTTTCCACTGAATAATTTGTATTTCTATGATCAAGAATAATGTAGATTATTATTATTTTGCACATTGATACCCAAGCCAGGTAAAGATCCAACAAAAAAAGAGAACTACAGGTCAATATCTTTGATAAACATAGACGCTAAAATTCTCAACAAGATCCTAGCAAACCAGATTCAGCAATACATCTCAAAAATCATCCACCATGACAAGTAGG